AAGAATATCTTTGCCGTGATTGACCATGCATCGAAAATTGATTCAATGGATGTTAGCGGAAAAGTGATAGACTCGGCGCAGGTCAGAGGGAATATTGAATTCAAAGACATTTCCTTCAGCTACCCATCTCGTTCAGATGTTCAGGTACCGCTCTCTTTTTATTTGAATACAATGTCGTCTTATCTTATTCAATCTGATGTGTATGTTTAGATTTTAAACGGACTAAATTTGAAAATCGTAGCTGGCCAAACAGTTGCGCTTGTTGGAAACTCGGGTAATGGTAAGTCCACTTGCTTGCATTTGCTGTCTCGTTTCTACGATCCAGACAAAGGTGCTGTGCTCATCGATGAGTGTGACATTCGGGCATTGAACATCCACTCATTACGTTCAACCATCGCAATTGTCAGTCAAGAACCGGTGCTTTTTTCCACGACGATCGGTGAAAATATTCGCTATGGCAATCCAAGTGCAACAGACCAGCAAGTAATTGACGCAGCGCAAATGTCGGGTGCACACGATTTTATCGCTCGTTTGCCACAAGGCTACAACACAATGGTTGGTGAAAGTGGTTCACAATTTTCGGGCGGACAACGACAGAGAATAGCGATTGCCCGTGCGCTCGTTCAAAATCCAAAAATATTGCTATTGGATGAGGCTACTAGTGCACTTGACTACCATTCGGAGAAACATGTGCAAGAAACATTGGACAGAGCGAGTGAGGGCCGAACTACAATTGTTGTCTCGCATCGAATGTCGGCGATTAAGAATGCTGATCGCATTGTATTCATTGACAAGGGACAGGTTGTCGAAGACGGAACGCACACCGATCTGATTGAAATGAAAGGACGCTACTACGAAATGGTAAAATCAACACACAATGAACTTGAAGCATCGAATGATGTTGATAAAGACAAAGAGGAAGTTTTTAGAAAAACATCTGAAGTTAAATATCACATTGGACATCATGCATTCTCGTCTGAGGTGATCGAAGAAGAACAAGACGAGGAAAAGGATTCAGTACAATATTGGAAGAGTTTCAAGCGAATTTTGGGACTTCTAAAACCAGATTGGGTCATTTTATCCATAGCTATTATTTCTTCAACGGTACTAGGATTATCACTACCATTTTTCTCAATCGTTTACTCAGAATTTTATGGTGTACGTTCAATTTTGTAATATTTACGAAGAGCAAACTCAAACTGTACTATTTCATTATTCAATAGACATTATCTATTCCAAATCGAGATGAAGCGCTGCAGAAGACTTTACAGATCAGTTTGACATTCTTTGGCATTGGTTGTCTCATGTTTACAATGGCAGTCTCTCAAACTCTGTTATTGGCCAAAGCAGGAGCCAGACTAACGCAGCGTGTTCGGTAATTTGAATTTTCAGTTCATAAAATTGTTCAACAGCGATTGATTTGTTTCTCTTCTAGATTGATGACCTTTGCCGCTATGCTTCGCCAAGAGCCGGGTTGGTTTGATGAAGAAAATCATTCAGTTGGGGTTCTCGGTTCATTCTTAAGTGGAGATGCCGCAAATGTGCAAACTGTGCGATTCATTTATTATAAATTTTCATAATATTTTTGAACGCATTCGATAACATTGTGTGAATTGTATTCTTTATTTCCGTTTCGTCTTTAGGCTGTTGGTTTTCCATTAAGCGTAATTCTTCAGTCGGCTTCAACGGTTGTGTTTGGAATAATCATTGCTTTCTCTACTTCTGTCAAACTGTCGATTCTCTGTATGATTCCATTCTTTCTTATGCTGATTGTTGTTCTATTGGAATCGAAGTAAAATGAAAAGAAATTTAAAAAACATTAGAAGGCTTCTTAAATAATTTGAATTTTTCTTAGGAATATATCAAGTTTAGAATTGGTAGAGAAAGATGCAATTGCAGTTGGAATGAAAATAGCCACCGAAGCCATCACAAACATTAGAACCGTTGCCAGTTTAAGTAATAACATAGTTTTCAGTTAATTTTTTTCTTCAAAAAATATTTGAAGTTTAATTTTCTTTCCAGGACAAGAGAAATCGACCATTCTGCGGTTTACTTTTGAAATGGAAAATGTTCAGAAAATTGCACGAAAGAAAATCATGTGGCGTGGATTATTGAATGCAATTACACAGTCTATTCCAGGTCTAGCATATGGTTTTGCTCTCGCTTATGGTGGTTACTTGGTGTCTGTAAAGGAAATACATTACAAAAATGTTATAAGGTATCAATGTTTTCTATACCGACTGATATTGGATTAAGATTCGAATTTCATGGATTCTCTCAGTCATTAAAAGCTACATTAAAAGCCAAGCTTTAATGTGTTCATGCTCGATTGCAAATGGATTTGTAGATTTAAAATCAAATTGTACTACGAACTACGTTTATTTTTTTTAGCCCTGATGAAGAATAAAAACATATTCGAGACCTTGGCATAAATGAAAAAATCTAGTAGTTTGGCTTTTAATAACTAGAGAATCCATCAAATTCGAGTTATAAGGTATCAGTATTCTCTTTTGTTTCAAGCCATTAATAATGAATTATGCGAAATTACAAATTATAATTTCAGAGTGGCTGAAGCATTACTTTACGGTATGATTATTATGAGTCAAACATTAGTGTTTGCTCCCACAATTACATCAGCCTTCACAGCAGCGCATCGTCTATTCAAAATAATCGATCGTAGACCATTGATCGAACCGCCGCATATTTCGAATAAAAGTAGAAAAGCAGACAAATGCAATGACATCAAGTTCGAGCGCATTGATTTCGGATATCCAACGCGGCCAGATGTTCAAATTCTGAACGGGTTCAACCTTAGCATTGTAGAAGGAAAGACAGTGGCCTTAGTTGGGCCATCAGGTTGCGGCAAGTCAACGTGCATCCAACTATTACAGAGACTGTACGATCCCGAACAGGGACGCATTCACATCGGACTCGACGAAATATCTAGCGACATTACGTTGAAAGATTTACGATCGAAACTGAGTATCGTGTCTCAGGAGCCAACTCTATTTGACAGAACGATCGCTGAAAATATAGCGTACGGAGACAATCATCGGAAAGTTACGATGGACGAAATTATTGATGCTGCCCAAATTGCGAACGCGCACAACTTTATCACACAGTTGCCTCAGGTACAGCATATTGAATTCGATCGGTAAAACGACAGTTCTTATTGATTGCATTGGCTTGGATTTTTTAGGGATATGACACAAATGTTGGTAGCAGAGCAACCCAATTGAGTGGGGGACAAAAGCAAAGAATCGCTATTGCTCGGGCACTCATTCGAAATCCGAAGATTTTGCTACTCGATGAAGCCACGAGTGCATTGGATCTGCACAGTGAGAAGGTGAGCATTTGATTGGAGTTCAGATCATATACTGAACATAGATCACTCGTCGTTTTTTTCATTTGTGTGTAAGTATGAGCGTCGATCTGTGCGTTATTACCCCATCAAAGGAATTGTGTTTAAGATATACACGCCAATTCGTGTCTTACACACACTTCGTTTAGAAGGAGCAATACTGCATGGACTGCTGCAATAAATATCGGATTCTCTCAAAATATTTCGGATATTTTTTTATGCTCAGTATATGGTTTGTTGTAGTTATCTGCTATTGGAATACTCTCGTTGATTTTTATTTTATCCCCGAATAGGTTGTTCAAATTGCATTAGATTCTGCCCGATCAGGACGAACGTGCATAACCATTGCTCATCGCTTGAGCACCATTCAGAATGCAGACATCATTTGTGTCGTTCAAAACGGAAGAATCGTTGAGTCGGGCTCGCACGCTGAATTACTTGCGTTAAATGGAAAATACACTCGTTTGTACAATGCTCAAAAGTGATTTAAAAGCTGTGCTACTTATAACATACGAATAAAGTGTGCATAATATAGAATTGATAGCTAAACGAACTCTTTAGTAATTTTGATTGAAATTTGAAGTTCGTTGTTTGATTACTCAGTATTGTAGTTAATATGCATATTTTATATGAAGGTCTAATAAAATAATTTTTGTGTACATTTATCTTTGTTTTTTCATATGGTTGATTTTTAAAATCATTTCTTTTGACATTGCACGCAAAAATGAACTATTCATTTTGATATTTAGCAAAAATGCACAATAAATCCAATTTGAGAAAATACAAATAGCGCAACTCAAAGTAGAAATGTTTTATCAGCAACAACTAATGCTCATAAAAACTAGTAAAAAAGTTCGTGATTCACTCGCATTGGAATGCAACATCGCACATCGCGTACATTGGATGTTACGAACAATAGAATAAAGCGAAATAAGCATAATCATAATATTTTGCACTTTGATTTACGATGTATAGTATACATAATTATTGAACAGCGTAAAAGAGAGATCAAGCGCCAATTTTCGAACACAGACACGGGCGTATCTTAATTAAACAATTACATCCTCAACATCTTTTACGTAAAAATAGTGCGTAACTGAGATTATTTGACCGACACATGTAATTTATTAAACATGCGTAATTTTCTATATTACAGTTTGATAATTCTTATTCACTTAGTAAAAATTATTTATCGTATCATAATTATTTGTTGTTAAATTAAAACATCTTTTCAATTGAATTTTTCGAAATGAATGTGTCTTAATAAATTCCTAAGTATTATGAAATATATGCATATCAAATATTGAGAAAAGATTGGTGAAAATTTAAGCATTAAACCCAAGTGAATTTAACTTGTTATTATTTCAGCACAACTAGTGGAAATTAATGAAGGATTTGACGTGTAAGAAACGTTCACTTATTGTACTTTAATACGTGTGAACTTTATATATTTAGTTTTTAATAAATTGTTTTTCTCAATTTCTCACTTGTATAATTAGAATGAATTATAGACTCTTTCATACCTTCTTATAAAAAAATTGCTCTGTTATCATAAAATTTTGCCAACAGTGGGGTGCAAGTAATCAGGCGAATGTAAAAATACAAATGATATGGAAAATTGCAAATCATCGCAATTCATTCTATTATACACATATAAATTCAGCTAATCACCACGGAAGCTTGTTTTAAAATTCACATAAAAACACGTCTAATCATGTTTAACCAGACATGTGAGTTGTCAATTTGTATAAATCTTACTTTATTAATGTAATCTCCAGAATGGGTGGAAAATGTTTAAGGCAGTAAGTTAAAAGTGTCACTATGTTGTGACGCCAAGTATTTACCCGCATTTAACGATAACATTCTTGAAATTATTATTCACATTTTCTATTAAGCTATAGCTATTTTCGATATAAATCTTAAATTAAAACTTTTAATTATTTCCTTTTTTATTGCGAATACCAGTTAATATACACTTAATTATTTGATTTGTTATTAAAATGTTATTCTTTCTCTTGTTTGCTCAGTAATCCATGGACTCAAAACAAAGAAATCTTGTAAAAAATTTAATAGATTGAAATAATAATAAATATTAGCACCGTATCGTACGATCGGAGTGAGTCCACTTACATTTTAAAAAAGTGTATCGCTGCGAACAAAAATGACCAGAAATAAATAAAAATTATAATTTGCATGCATGATAAATTTAAATCAAAATGTTTGTGTCAATAGTATCTTCCAGTCTATGCTCATATCACACAGTTACTCTACTCATATTGTTGCGAATAATTTACCAAGCATGCATCCCATTAATTATATTCTCTTAAAAAATTGAAAATCTATCACTATTTGCATTGAGCTTGTATCAGGTTCGCGGTTTACATTGTATTTGTTAGATTTGAACCGTGAGTATATTTGTTCGCGTTTTCTTTAATTAATAACAATGTGCTATTTTTATACATGTAGTCTGAGACAATTCATTGATCAATTTCAATTATAAATTCGATACGACTTTTTTCCGTCGGTTATCTGTGGTTATATTCCTATCATTTGTTGTTGTCTAATCAAATTTTACAGAAATTATGACTAATGATAAAACTTGTGAATCTTGAACTTATATTTTCGAACGATAAGTGATCACACAACAGTTCAATCGCGAACGCGAAACGCTCCAAACGTGCAATATTTTGGTCGTAAAACGATTGTTTACTTTTTGAATAATATTTCAATACCAGTGACAATATTGTGACTTTGAATTAATATAGTTTAAGTGTGGTCCATATCAACCAGCTTTTTAATGAACTAAAATTGAAAATAATTGAAAATGTAAGGCTTTCCAATTAATTTTAATTAAAATGCATCGAAATATAGCAAGTAGAATGAAAAATTTTAATCAATGTTCTCTCATTTAAACCGAAATTTATTTCAAATTTAGGAAAATAAACGCGTGTCGAACTCTACAAAAGGGGACACAAGTAGAAGATTCAAGGACTTTGAGTTTTTTGTCATTGGTAATATTAATTCTGCACACACACCTAGATTATCCGATAATTGGAATAGTTTGGCATTTGAAAGTGATGAGCAATTCACTGTGTTATATTTCTTAAAACGGGAACAAATAGCATGCGCTTTAATTGCTTCATTATATGTATAATTATGAGTTTTTCACAAATTAATTGCAATTAGAAAATTCAAAGGGCAAATGGTTACTTATAAATTTCACTATTTATACAAACGCACAAAATCAAACTTACATGAATCCATACGAACTTGCGCTGTTTTCACAGACATTCACACGCTGTGTTAACAGGTCAAAGCAGTAGCAGATATACACATTTTCACAGACATTCACACGCTGTGTTAACAGGTCAAAGCAGTAGCATATATACAAATCAATTGAAATACCGCACATGGTACAATTAATTGCATTTTTTTAAAATAAAAAACGTCGTACGAATATTTCATTACCAATGATTCAGTGTTTGAATTTATGGTCAGTTAGAAGATGATAAATTCAATGGATTGCTAAAAAAATTCAGCGAAACAATTTATTGAAATATTTTTTGACAAAACTAGTATTATTGAATTTTATTGGTCATTGGCCGATCTTGAATTTAAAAGTTGTTTGATAAAAAACGACGATTCATTTAAGATGCTCTCATTTGAACTAATAAATTCAATATGCTAATTTTCATTCAAATTGTTTTTTTTTTTTTAAGATGAATGAGTGGTTTAAAAACTAGCTTTTTCAACAAATCTGTTCAAATTGTTTTACGTTTTTTTTAGTGTTTCGAATTTTTAATACAAATAGGTTTCTATGTTATGGAACTTGACTGACATTTATTAGCATTTCCGATTCACTTCGAATTTACTATAAAAATGCGCATTTTAAAGATTGAGATCGGTTATGGACCGAAAGAATACTTTGTTATTTCATCTTATTTTCAAAAACCATAAGTTAGAAAAAATTAACAGAATTTGAGTTATCGGAGTCTGACTGTGTAATAGTTTTTTTACAAGTTTTGAACAAATTTTTAAAAATTGTTTTCAGTATCGGTTTGCATCACGATCGGATTTAGTCTTATTTTCGATTGGTCTACTATGTACTCTAATCAAAGCATGTGGCTTTCCATTTCTTATCATTATTTATGGTGAATTCACTGCCTTATTAGTTGATCGCACTTATGGAGAGGGGACGAGTACACCAACTTTAGTGCTGGAATGGTTTGGAGGTGGAAAAATATTGTACGTATCGACTGATAGATTTTTTCTTTGTATTTTTGCGTATTTAAAATGTATTATTTCATCTAAAGGACAAACGCATCACAAGCGGATAAAGATGAAGAAATCATAAATGATTCTATTGCCTTTTTGATAGCGTCATTTGCCGAGACAATTGTATTCATATTTGCCGGAATTATATGTGTTGATTGTTTTAATAAAGCTGCGATTTCACAAGTTACTCGTATTCGAATAGCGTATTTTACAGCGCTGATGCAAAAAGATGCGAGATTTTATGACATTGAAAAAGGAAAATCTAATTTCACCGTTCGACTTGCTGAGTAAATTAAAAAAAATATGGAATTATATGAAATTTTATGGAATAAAACAATTACTTTTTTATTGACAGTGACATGGAGAAATT